AGAATCTGAAGCAGGCTCCATGCTCTGAGCTGTCAGCAAGAACCCGATGCGGGTCTCGAATGCACAAACTGTGAGATCATAACCTGAGCCAAAGTCAGAAGCTTAACCGACTGAGCCACCCAGGTGCCCCAAGAAACAGACTCTTAACTCTAGAGAACACACTAGAGAGGAGGGAGGAAGTAGGTGATGGGGATTAAGGAGTGTACTTGTTGAGATGAGGACTGGGTGATGTATGGAAGTGTTGGATCACTATATTGTACACCTGAAACTAAAATTACACTGTATGTTAAGTATACTGCAACTAAAAAAAAGAATAAGCTATGGAGGCAGACATGAAAGTAGGGAGTCCACTTGGAAAGCTATTGCATTAATCCAGGCTATTAGATAGTGATGAATTGCAGTAAGGTGGATGTGGAAGCCATCGGTGTTTTGTAGGTAAAATAAGTTTTGCTGATGGATTGGATGGGGGTGTGACAAAAAGATATGAGGAGTCCAAGATATGATGTTGTAACACATACCATTGTGACCGAAATGAGGTCTACTATCATCATCATGGTATTAAATTTATATCGGAAATCTGCCATTGTATTTTCCCACTCATTTATTTCCTTGATAGTTTTTCCTTTGGAAAAACTTGCAGTCACTTGTAGTAGTAACTTGTACTTCCTATCAGCCTGCTTTCCTACTCACCCTACTTCATCACTACCCCCCCAAAAAAATTAAAACTGGGAATTTACATGTAGTTGTTCTCTTTTACAATTCTTAAAGAAATTGTAAACACATTTCCTCTGGAAAGAGTTTCTCAGCATTGAATTATTAAGAAACTTTAGCAGGTTTTGAATATAGATATATGGTTAGTTCATGATAATTGTGATGAATTTTCCTCTCTTCTCCCTGTGAAGCTTACAGCATAGTAGAGAATTACTCGTGATGAGTCTTGTCTGATTCAAAATGCAGTCTGAATTTCATGCAGAGGCTCTTATACTTCCCTGTGCCCTATATAGTTGAACAGTTTTCTAATGCATGTTTAATGTGAATGTCTCTGCCAACAAAAAGATACTTCTTGCCTGGATCCTCAATAAATGTCATGGAGTGGAGAAAATTCCTTTACTTTGTTTGTTTGTTTGTTTGTTTTTTGACATCACTGAGACTCACCGCACTAATATTTGTGGGACAACTAATAAGTATTTGCAAACTTGGCTTTTGAAAAACCTTTTTAATTTTTCACTGGTATTTATCTTTGCTTATTTAAGCTTTAAGTGCCTTGATCTTTCTGCCTTGTGTAATAAGAAGAGCAAATGCTAAAGATTTATAAAAATAACGTGGTGTTGATAATGTTTTCAGATCTCTGCCCTTTAACTATGGAGTAGTTACACTTAAATGATTGTTACATTCACCTTTTTTAGTTGGTGGTCAGTTCTAAGGCATTCATTGTGACTATCACTGTCCTTAAAGAATGTAGTTAATTAATAAGAAAATCTTTGCCAGTATTTCCATCTAAGGGGATGTACACTATCAAAAGTCTGCTCACTTTGAATTCTTTGATGCGACAGTGCTGTCCTTTATTCTTCTACTGATGAAAGAACTGGTGAGCCATGACACTTTGTACCTCTTGTTACAGTCTTATTTTATACTTTGCATCATAATTTTGTGCCTGTCTCATCTGCTCTACTGAATTATGTATTCATTAAAATTAGAATTCATATCAGGATCATCATGTTTAACCCTTATAAGTACTCAATAAAAAAAAAAAAAGAAATTGATAAATTGCTTCATGTGGAGTGTCCAAAATGCAGAAACTGTCCCAGTAGCAAATCAGCTGCCCTTGGTATAAATTGGATTTGAAGCAGCTATGGTAGAGTGGAGGGAACAATGGATATACAGTTATTTGGATGGACTTGGGGATGAAATTTACCACTGAACTTCTGATCTCTCAATAATTGAACAAGCCTTAATTTCTTCATCAACAAAATAGGAGATAATTTTTCCTCTCACAGGGTGTTATGATAGCTTATTTGTGTGAATATACCTAGCACAGTGTCTGGCATGGAGCGGTTGTTAATCATGTGTTAGATAAATGAATGAATGAGTGGTTTCCACTGACCAGAGGTAGCTTGGTTTGGTACCTATAGTTTGTTTCATAACTAAACTAATAAAATAATTTTTATTGAAAAAGTGAAGTTTAATGAAAAATATCTATATTTCTTTTGGGAGGTAAATTTCTTATTGAATGACTTTCATTGTCAAAATTTATTGCTTGTTAATTTCATAATGTTTTGTTTGCTAAATTAAGGTAATATTTCTGCCCTCAATCAAGCCATGCTTTTTTTTGATTGAGTCAGGATCAATCTGCTAATTTGAACATTGGCTAACTCATAGGCTAGCTTCTACAAATGGACCATAAAATATATTTCTGAATTTGACTGTACATTATTAATATTATTCATTTAAAAATTATTTGAATCTGTGGTTCATCACCCAAAACCATTATTCAGCTACAAAGAATACTTTGTTTATTACTTTGTTCCTATCACATTAAAAACTCATTACTTAACTTAATGTCTGATATTCAATTTGTCCATGTGTCACCATATTTCAGCTACATGGTACAGCATTATTCATTCAACTAACATTTACTGAATGCTCACTTGTGCCAAGCTGAGTTCTAGGTGTTGAGGATTTAATAGTGAATAAGTCAGCAAAGGTCTCTGTTCTAATGTTATTTACATTTTACTGAGGGAGACAGATAATAAACAGATAAACATATACATGTGACTATAATGTCAGGTGGTAATGAATGTGTTATGAAAAAAATGCAGGAAGAGAATGTCAAGAAATCAGTTCTGTTTAAAATACTTTTGAGTGGAGACTTGAATGAAGTAAGGGAAAACATCATTGTAAATATCTAGAAAACAATGTTTCACATTGAATGAAGAGCATTTTAGGGCCCCAAGGTGACTATTTGCTTGGTGTATTTGGATATGAACAAGGAGTTTAGTGTACCTGGAATGCAGTGAGCAAGCATAAAAAATGGGAGGGACTAAAGTCAATGAACAGCAAGGGACGAGAACATAGAACTATATAAGCCATTGAAATTACTTTGGCTTTTGCTCTGAATCACTTGGGTAGCTGGTGGAAAACGTTAAGTAGAGGAAAACTTGACTTATGTTTTAAATGAAACATTGTAGCTGTTCTGTGAAGAATGGAGTGGGAGCAGGGACGCCTCAAAAATAAATACAGGGAGAGGAGGTAAGGCTGTTGCAGTAATCCAACCTAGAGATTATGGTTTAGCCCATGTGGTGAAAAGTGGACCGATTCTGCATCCATTTTGACTGTTTTACCAACAGAGTTTGCTGATTGACTGGGTTTGGGGTTTAGGAGGAAAAAGGCAAGTCAAGGACAAGCATGAGGGTAAATGATGGTGTCATTTACTGAAATGTGGAAGACTGAGGGAGTAGCATGCTTTGTGAGGGAAAAAGTCAGGTGCACTATTTTGAACATCTTAAAATTGAAATCCTATTAGACATCTAAGATGAGTTATCTAGAAGACTTCAGGGAGAAGTCTGGACTGGAGGTACAAAGATAGTTGGTATTGGATGAGCTACAACAGAAAGAGACTGCCCACAAAAGACAGCATAGTAAAAGAGATCTAATGACTAGGCCCTACGAACCCCAGTGTCAAGTAGTCAGACAGAGGAGAAAGATCCAGCTAAGAAAACCATGAGGGAGTAGCCTTCAAAGCAGAAGGATAGCCATATTTGTATGGTATTCTGGAAGCCGAGTATAAATAAAGTGTGTCAAGAAGAAGGAGGGATTTGTTGTATCAAATGCTGAGATGTTAGTGAGGGTTGAGAATTGACGATTGGATTTGGCAATGTGTGGAGATCACTGGTGACCTTGACAAAAGTGGAGTGGTTAGGGTAAAAATCTGGTTAGTGTGGTTTCAAGGCAGAGTGAAAGCTAAAGAAATGAGAGGCAGCAAGTATAGTTCCTTTCAAAGATTTTTGTTCCAAAGTATGCCAAAGAAGAGCCAGAGGAGAGAATGTAGGGTCAAGGAAAGTTTTGGATTTTTGGAATTCTGTGTTGTTTTTGTTTTTAAGATAACTGATATTATAGCTTCCCTGATATAGCATTTACATGCTATGGGAAAGACCTGGTAGAGAGGGAAAGTTTAATGATGTGGGAGGTAGGGGGAAATTTCTGGAATGATGTCCTTGAATAGTTGAGAGAGGATGAAAGGCAGTGCACTAGACTTCAGTGGAAGCTTATTCCTTGGAATAGGAGAAAAAATAGGTCTCTAGCCACAGAAACAAATGGGTTGGTAGATTAGATGGCAGGAAGATATTGACATTTTCTTTCCCCTTTGTTTTATATTTCAATAAAAAATGAGATCCCCAGCTGAATATGAGGATGAGGGAGGCTTGGAGGTTTTAAAAAGGAAGAAAAGGCAAGAAAGAGTCGCACTGAAGAGTGGGAGAGTGAATTGTCTAAGGAAATGAAGAATGATTTCCATACAGATCTGTGTGCCCATTTAAAATAATACATGGCATGGTTGCCATAGACATGCGGTTGCTTGGGTGAAGGTACAAGGTATATGAAGAGTTGAAATTAACCAGAGTTGGGATTTTCCCAGACATATATGTCAGAAGTTGAACATGGGAGTGCTTATAGTGATTCATGGTGGAATCTGAACTGAGCAAAGTGGGATATGACAATTTACAGGAGATAATGCACAGTAAAAATGTGATGGGAATGAACTGGAGGTCTCAGCGTGTGGAATAATTGTTGGAGAGGTAGGGTACTTGCGTGCGTGCACTGGAAAGGTAGGAGGTGATGGACATAGAGTGGAGTAATGTGAACTGGGACTTGTAGAGGTATAATAGGTATGACCATGAGATGGCTGAGGGGGAGCAGATGATAAGTTTACTGGAGTAAGGAGGTAGAGGAAGTGAACAGTAATAGCACATGTAACAAAACATATTCTCTCTGTATTTCTTAAGGATGAGATTGTGGGTAAAAAATTATTAAGTCTTCTGCCTGATCATGAGAAAAGTGAAGTCCACCAAAAGATTGCTCTCAAACTTCCTTCGTCAAGTTCAGGTATGGATTGTGTCTCCTAAATTGTAACTTCTTAGATTTTAAGACCCAAGTAACAACTACTCAAAGGAGTAATAAAAATAAAGACCTTAGAGCCAATATAGCTGCTGATTATATATTAATACAATTACGCAAATTATATTTCTAGTATTAAAATATTTCTTCTCCATTAAGTCTTGTTCTTTGTCATGAACCATGATTATTTGAGCTTTTGTATAATTGTATTAGTGTTATATAATGTTCTAGCTGGTACTCCACTCTACAGTTACAACATAGATAGCTATGCCAGTGCTAATGTTCATGGAAAGAAAATGATATTTTTTAAAAATCTGTTCTAAGTAAGACAATGGTCCTATGAAATAATCCTGCAAAATATGGTAACATACAATTGTAAATGTGTTTTGTATCTTTTTTTTTCTTAGTGGGAAAACATACTGACTTTTGCTGTCATATAAAGAGAGGAAATGATAAACGTGGTAGTAACCCTACTTATGAATATGTGAAATTCATTCTGACTTTAAAAGATATTTCAAATGGTAAGCAATTCAGTTTTCAGTCTAATTTAGATAAAGTTAATGTGTTTCATAGCCCTTCGTTGCTAACATAAATGCCTTTCCACTGCCGGCGCCCTCAGATTCTCTTATATCCCTGTGACCATAGCGGTTTGGTTGTAGACACTGATCAGACTTTTGAAAAAGAATTCCATGATAAAAACAAAGGGAAATTAGGTTATGAGTGATTATATAAATGGATTACCAAAAGAAGGACCAACAGAAATCTCTGATAAAAAGAAAGACTAAAGTTATTGTTCCAAAGGATCTTATTGTTTTAAAAGTGGACCTGATAATATGAAACACCTTGTTTGTAAATGTCTCTGACCTTTTTCTCTGAGATCAGAATTTCGGGATAGATAGCTTATATACTTACCTGACACTAATCAGAAAATAGGTAATATTTATATTTAAAATATGTTTAGTTATATTTAATGATCTTATTCCTGAGTTGCTTGTTCATTGAAGTAGTTTTCATTTCTATTGCAGTTAGGAATAAATAGGTTTGTGCCAGTAGACACTGCTACTAAATTGGTATCCAAAAATGCTTGGGCCTCTAGCTTTTGTTCAGACTCTATGAATTTTAGCAGAGTGCAATGTTTTTGTGAAACAGTGCAGTGAGACTGTGCAGTAAAAGGAGGAGGGGGTTTGGAGACGATGAAGACTTGAAACATATAAATATAATTACTGTCCAATACAACAGAGCAGCTTACTTATGAGAGTTGTAATTACTGTTTATTGCTCTGAGGAAGATAGAAAAGACAGGGAAATAGGGGAAACTCCTTTGAAAAATGGAATACCTTTTACAGAAATATTTAGCGCCTATTATAAACAACTAATCCTTGTTTCATCCCTTTTATTATTAAAAATTATATTAAATATTCAGTTTAAAAAATACTGAAATTCACAAGATAGTGTCACTTGGTAATATGGTGGATTGAACTAGTAAGAATGACTCTTTCCTTCTACAAAAACAAGGAAACAATTTTTAAAACATAACAAAAGAAGTTTGATGCATACCCAAGCTTAAAGGAAAGTTAAGTCCTTGGGTGACAGGAATTAGAGTATAAAGTACAAGACTATAATGATAAGAGGAAGCCTAGGTGGTGGCCTAGGTGGGTTATGCATCATCCATGGGCTTCGCTGGCTGGGGTCTGGAGTGCTAACATTCATTCAAGGACCAATACATAAAACCTAGAAACTTAACATGATCAGTAAAATCCTGTCCACTGGCCTAGAGGAATAATGTTTGCCATCTCCCTCATAATTTGAATGGAAAAAAATATGTGTCATTTACAAGAAATCAAACCCCAAATCAGTGTTGTGTGGATATGGAGTCCAAATTTATAATTTTCAAGGTTTCAGGATCTATTGGCTGAGAAATTAACATAAACACTGATATGGGGCCATTAAAACATCTAGGGCTTGAACCATAGGTAAATAGCCCAACGAATATGTGAAAAGATGCTTGAACTCACTAGTAAGCAAAGAATGAAAGATTTAAAAAACAGTGAGATAGCACTGTACACCCATCTGAATGACAGCAATCAGGAAGTGTGAATAATAAACAAATATTGGTGAGGAGGTGAGAAATAAAACACTAATACAGTGTTGAGAGGAATGTAAACTCATGAAGCATTCCTGAAAAACAGAGTGAACTTAAATTATGTTAATTAATCTGTGACTCAGCAGTCTCATCACTGGGTGGAGATATACCAGAGGCAAACTTACAGAGAGATCTGTGCCTAAGGGGACATGTGCTATATATGCCATAGTGTTTTTTATGGTTGGAGGGAGTTGGAGACAGCCTAGGTGTGCATCATTAGGGAAATGGGCAAGTAAAATGAGAAAAATGTGCAATATGGAAAACTTTGAAAGCAGTGACCTCGGATATATATACTACAACATGGTTAAATCTTTTTTTTAAGTTTATTTATATTGAGAGAGAGAGAGAGAGAGAGTATGAGTGGGCAAGGGGCAGAGAGAGAGGGAGAGAGAGAATTCCAAGCAGGCTGCACAGTGCATAGCTCTAATCCATGGACTGCAAGATCACAACCTGAGCCAAAGTCAGATGTTTAACCGACTGAGCCACCCAGGCACTCCAGTTAAATCTTAAAACCATAATGTTGATTGAAAAAAGTAAGAAACAGAATGAGATCTATAGCACAATGCCACCTTTGTAAGTGGTAAGCACATACACATAAAACCAGACTACATATTTTGCAAGTTTAGATATTAAAAGTGGTAGATGGCAATGGGTGTCTGTGGGTGCAGAAGGATCAGAAAAATCAAGAGTAGAGACTTTATCTGTGTTCATTCTATTCCATGGACTAAGAGTGTAATTAACTCAGTTCTTTGATACTGAGGTCTAAAAAATATAGCGAATGAATGAATGAGTAAATAAACAATCAAAATTAGTTCACGCAATGGTTGTCTGGTGTTTGTCATATGTGTTGAAAATTAAGGGTCGTATACTTTTAAAACATTCAGTTGACTACATATGCACACAAATTGCACACATATTTAATACCCCTGTGCCCTATATAAAAGAGGGGAGCTAAATTTCTTTTGAAGACTATAAAATCCATCCACAGAGTAAGAACACAAGGTTGAATATCACCCTGAACTTGCAACAATTATTTTTCAGTAATGACTTCTTCATGTTTTGCTGGAGACCAGGGTAAGGAGGATAGCTGGAACAGAAAGAAGGCAGGAAAAATCTGTGACTCAGAATTCTGAAAATTATCAGTGGGCTGGCAAATAGTGCACTGATGTGTCACGTGTTCATTTTCTTGTGTAGACAGCCTGCCTTTCTATTTGATTGTCACATGTGTGTCTCTGTCTCCCTTAGAGCCTTTGATGCTCTTCAGTAGCTTGTTCCCCAGTCCCTCTTTTGCTGAATCGTGTGGTACATATCTTCCTCTGGAGGATCGGTTTTATCTGGTCGGGTCCATTTGTATCCTCAGGACTCAGATTCTACGGGTGAGTATGTTGTGTGTGTGCCTTCCCAACTGGGGAATTGCGGGCTTCCTTTGAAAGGCCATGTCCCCTTTGGTCCATCAGCTACTGGACAGAATTTCTAAGGAACCCAATGTGTGCAGGGGGTTGTGCTAAGATATGTGAATGAGGACAGATCAGCTCCTGCGTTTCAGAAGGTGAGCATGTGAGTGGAGATCTCAACACACTCAAAAGAGATACACAATCACTTACAAGTGGTTTTATTTTATTATTTTTTAAATTTTTTAACGTTTATTTATTTTTGAGACAATGTGAGAGACAGAGTGCAAGCAGCGGAGGGGCAGACAGAGGGAGACACAGAATCTAAAGTGGGCTCCAGGCTCTGAGCTGTCAGCCCAGAGCTGGACGTGGGGCTCGAACTCACGAACCGTGAGATCATGACCTGAACTGAAGTCAGATGCTCAACTGACTGAGCCACTCAGGCGCCCCAGTAACAAGTGGTTTTAATGTAATATGAAAGAGGTATACAGGGGCTGAGGGCTGGAACATATTAAGAGAAGTGGCCATTTTGACAGGTGAAGAAAGGAAGGTTTCTGTCATGAGGTGAGTTTTGAGGCAGCTCTCTCCCACATCCACCAGCAATTCTCGCTTAGTGTTCTACTAATGTAGCACTCACAGATTCTCTAAAAAGGAAAATCAGTCTTTAGAATTCTTTGGATAGATTCAGGTTCAATGAATATTTATTCACTAAGTAACATATTTATTAAGCACCTACTATGTGCCAGACACTATGAATGTTGAAAAGTGTCATGTAGATGATAAAACAATCATATGTTAATAGCTGGTGGGAAGAAGGAGTTCAGACAGTGTGGTCAGGGAAGGTCTTTCTCTGATGACCTGTCTTTTGAACTGAGACCCTCAGTTATGAGGTCAACCCAGCAAAGAAAGGAAGGCAATCCAGGTAAAGGGTTCAGCAGCTGTAAACATCTTGAAGTAGTAACTAGCTTAGAGAGTTCCAAGGCGCAAGTACTGTTATGTGACTAGAAGAAGGTGAAAGAGGGAAGGAGTAGTAGAAAATTAGGTACAAGAAGTGGGCAGAAGCCAGATTATGGAGAACTTTGAGAATCATGATCATGAGTTTGACTTTTACTTCAGCTGTAGTGGAAAGTAGCATGAAATGATCTGATTTCATTGTTTTTGAGAGATTAGACTGGTTCCTGGGTGGGAAATGGAATCTGGGAAACAAGAGCACAGGCAAGAGGAGTGGCATGAGAGATGGTAGAGCTTGGACTAGGATTGGAGTCATGGAGATAGAAGTACATGGGTTTGGGTTATTGTTGGGAGATGGGGCATAAAGTCCTTGCTGATGTGTTGAAAGTGGGTGGGAGAAGAGAAATGACTCCTAGCTTTTAAGCCTGAGAAGCTCAGTAAATGGAAGTGCCATGAACTGACTTGAGTCAGACGGCGACACTATGGATTGGGTGATGTGGGAGTGGGGGGCAAATCAAGAGCCATGTTAACATTATGATGACATTGTGACATACAACACATCCAACTGCCTTACAAGACAGGCCTCTGGATCCAGACCAGCTGCAAGACCTCATCCAAGTTGCTTAAATCTTTTAGCTTCAGTTTCTTTTTCTATACATGGCAATAATAAAACCTTCTTTTAGAGTTGTGGTGAAGAGTAAATAAGACAGCACCTTATGCATGGCAAGCACTTGGTAAGTGTGAGCTATTACAGCCATCATACTCATCATTATCATTATGATAATTGTTATCTTTAGGATCCAGAGAGAGCAAAAGATCTGCTTTACTTTTGTCTCTGGTTTAGAATGTGGACTTTAACTGACCACATTTCAGAAACTGTGAAAGACCCTGTTACATTCCATTTTAGAGTAGATATGTGTCACCTTTTTTTTCCCCCAGATTTAAGACCATAAGAAAAGTGTCAGAAAAGCAATTGAAGGAAGTTGCTTGGTCTGATTGCCCCAATCATTATGCCTCTCTGGCAGCTGAGATTTGAGCTTTCATATTTGCCACATGAAGACAGACATCCCATTGTGGAAGTCACCCCCAAAATATACTACTCCCTCCTCTGAGAAAGGAAAATCTCATTTGGCACACGTCCTTCACTCTAGAGTCCCTCATGACACAAGGATCTCTATTTGTGATCTTATGCAATTTTCCTCTGGGTTTCTAGGATATTTGTTCCATATTAATGGTCACTTCGGAGAATAAATCTTGTGAGAACAGAGGGCTTTTTGGAGGAACATTTTTTTCACAGTGTTGACTATGTAGCACAGTGGATGGTGCAGCAAACTCAGAGTGCAACTGTGAGATGATGGATCTACTTTGTTTTGTGTCTACCAGCCGTGTATCTTGGGCCAAATCATTACTTCTCTCTAATCCTCAGTTTTCATGACTATAAAATCAAGTGCCTTTCTCACATTGATATAGAGATGAGCTGTGGCATTGGATATGTGATTGCTTCCAAATTGACTACATGCTATACTAATGTGTCAGGTATTTTTACTATATAAGTTCATTTTAAGTATCTAAAATGCCAGTTTCTCTGCAGGACCTTTTCACTGTGGAGAAAGCTGGGGAAGATATTCAGCTGATAAATGACTCAGATGAGGAACATGTATCTACAGAATGCAGGTGAGAGACTACTGCTGAAGTAAGTGATGGAGACCTAGGGCATATTTTTATTCAACAAAACTAAAACAAGAAATAATATGTAGAAATATTTTCCCATTAAAATGAAAAGACAAACAATGGAATCCAGGAGAGCAATCTACTAGTCTGAATTCCTTTGCCCAGCTAATATAATTCTTATTTCTCCAACTGAATGTAAATACAAGTGATTGGCTTTTTATTAAAAAAAAAAAAAAAAAAGCTATGGGGGCGCCTGGGTGACTCAGTCAGTTGAGCGTCCAACTTCAGCTCAGGTCATGATCTCGCTGTCCATGAGTTCAAGCTCCACATCAGGCTCTGTGCTGACAGCTTGGAGCCTGGAGTCTGTTTCAGATTCTGTGTCTCCCTCTCTCTCTGCCCCTCCCCCACTCATGCTCTCTCTCTCTCTCTCTCTCTCTCTCTCTCTCTCTCTGTCAAAAATAAATAAACATTAAAAAAAACTATAGAGCACACTTAACTGATGCAGACATTTAATGACTTTCAAATTAAGACAATGCATTTAAAAATAGTATTTGATTACTTTTTCTAGAAATACTTTTAAATGGTGGAACAATAAGTGTCCCTCTTTTTGTTAATATAATTTATTTTATGACATTTGCTAACAAAGTTTCAAAGAACGGAGGCAGTGTTCCATGAGTTTCAGTGGAAAAAAAAAATGCAGTCCCAACTCACAAGAAAATGCCAGTTTACCAGATATCATTAAACCCCCTCATGTATCTGCTTAACAATCCACCAAGGATTTCTGCAAAATAGAAATTGTATGTAATACTATCTAGTTATTTAATACTTGTTAAACTCATTAGTCTGTATGTAAAAAACCATAATACTAGATACTGCACAGTATAGATTATTGAGAGTGGGTTAAATATTCCTTCTCTATCACAGTAGATATGCATGTGTAAATAAATAATAAAATAATATATTAAAGATGTGCACCACATGCCAATAATACTTAGCAAAAAAGAAAATAAACCAGATAATTTTTCAAGAGGTTTCTTATGATTAAAGACATGTTTATGTGAGGCCTGATGGTGGGAGAGGAGAGAGTTGGAGGCTGTGGTCACTGTTACTATTTGATGGTGGGGGGCGGTAAGAAAGAAAGAGCTGGTGAAGAAATGAGTTAAACAGGAAATGTCTGACATTCATCTGTGTCTGGATCCAAGGAATGGGGGGAGAATCTTCCCTTCCTGGCAGGAGAGTTCAGAGGTGCTTGGCTGCAAACCATTGTCTGAAGCTACACACAAAGCAATGGGATGGAAAACAGAGCTCACAGTGGCAGTCTGTTTGCATTCCACATGTTTGGTGTCCTACAACTCTTGCTAACATGAGATTGCATTTGTAATTGTGTGAATGTGATAAGTCCGCTCATGCCAAGATCACACTCATTTGCACCAGAAAGCTTTTTTCTTTTTTTTCAGGATCTCAAATTTCTTGTAAATATTCAGCATTGTATCTGTGATTCCTAGGTGTTGGGGACAGGACAGGTGCATGGCCAAGCTTAAGACTAATAATCATTCAGCTCTCTTAATGTGCTTTATCACCCCCAGTTTTTCTTGTTGCGCATGTGCTTATTTACACTTTTTAGGCTTAACCATTTCCTTCATTAGTTACTCAACTTTATTAGACTGTTTACTGAATAATGTGGGGAAGAAGATATCTGCAAAACATGGCATGTTTAAACAATGTGAACTCGAGACACTCTCCTATCAGGAGAGTACCTGAGATACAACAGCAGCAAACCACATGGATAATTCAGTCAGCAGATCATTGTAGCAAATATTCAGATAGTAAGAGTTCAGAGAGTGAGGAGACCTGTGTTTTACTATTAAGCAGAGTTTAATTGGATGAAAAATATTCTGATGCAGAAACGAGCCAGTTACCACATCTATGCCAGTGATCTACTTAGATATAAAAGAAATGTTTTCTTTTTTTTATTTTTCTTTTTTTAATAATTTTTTTAGCATTTATTTTTGAGACAGAGAGAGACAGAGCATGAACGGGGGAGGGGCAGAGAGAGAGGGAGACACAGAATCCGAAGCAGGCTCCAGGCTCTGAGCCATCAGCCCAGAGCCCAACGCTGGGCTCAAACTCATGGACCGTGAGATCGTGACCTGAGTTGAAGTCGGACACTTAACTGACTGAGCCACCCAGGTGCCCCTAAAAGAAATGTTTTCTTCAGGCTTAAAACCCCTTCTAATATTGTAAGATATTATCACTCCAGTGTGGATGAATGCACTATAGTTTTGTATGTTCTGTACTTCCATAAAATATTACTAAAGTTCTTTCAAAATTATGCAATGGAATATTATTTATCATATAGAAAGTAAGATGGAAAATGACACTTAGGACAGAGTTGATAGATCTGATGAAGAAATTCTGTTTAATTCCACCTCCCATGTCTCACATCCCTCCCCTCTCCTTCAATACCATGGTCACTGCTGTGCTCTCAGACACCTCAGCTCTCACACGACAGGTTGTTTGTGGGCCTGGCTTGTCCACTATCTTGAGGTCTATAAAGGCGGACCTGCCAGCCTTGTCCCTGTCTGGCACAGAGCTTCACATCAAGTAGGCAGAAATGAACATCTACTCAGGGACTGATTGATTGGTTGATCCTATCAAAATGGTAATCCATTCCATGCCATGAGACCTCTCAAAGGTAATGCAGTATTATTATAAATCAGTGCAAACTAGTATTGCCTTGTTTTTGTCATAGACTCTTTCCTTGTTCTCAGGATATTTTTAAATAAAAATAAGGAGAAGAAATCATGGCATGTCAGAGTCATGGTTTTGTATGTTTCATAGACACCCTGAGCAGATTGGTAATCTGGCTTTCATTTTATAGACTGAGGGACAGTTAGGAAAGTAATCAGGCACAGAGGCCATAGGGACCTGGAGCTCCCAAAGTGATTTGGGAATTTCTCTTGGTAATTCTACATGTTCTTTGAAAGGCAAGAATCATTTTGCTAAAAGGCTTGAAAGCATTGCCTATGCTTATGAAAGAAACACAAAGAGGGGAGTTTGAGATGTTTAGAAGAAAGGGTCTGTTTCCATGGAGGGTGTATTGTCCTTGCATGTTTCAGATTTGAGGCTAAAGAACCTTTCATTTCAGGAGAGGGACTCAGTGGTTGGGTTATTTTCCATTAAAGCTACAGATGCAATGGAGTGCAAGGTCTTGTTTGCCTGGACCACTGAAGATACAAAGAAGTAAGGGGTACTTGAAAGTACGTAAGGGGCAGACCAAAACTGGAATACTGTTAGCCCTCTCCTATCTGGCTCCTGCTAGAGCCAGAATGAAGTACCTAGCTACTCTTTTAGTTTGGCCAGATGAATGTAGAGGTAAGACCCAAATTCCCATCACAGCGTCATCTCAGTAGAAATGCATTCTGTTCTTTAGCCTTCACGATAGGATTTCATGTTTATTAACCTAGTTGAAAACAAATCTATCAGGTAGATTTTAGACTTGTCATAATGTAGTCATAGAGGATTATGATATGCCCAACTCACACAATTTGTTCCACAGTAGAGTGGAATTGGGACCCAGATTTTCCTGGGCTCATTCCTGTCAGGACTTCAGTTCCAGCAGCTGTGGCTAGTATGGGATTCCAAGGAGAAAACTCGAGGAGCCTTTGGGAAGTACTTGATTGAGGATGTTTTCGAGATAAAATCTTCTTTTCCCCTTTAATTTCTCCTTAAACGTAGAGGAGAGAAAAATTAATAGGGAGAGGACTATGACGATTAACCCAGTGTTGATGAAGATAGCATCTTCTCACCTTCAGGTAGAGTAAAGAACACTGGAATATCAAATAGAAAGCATTTCCAAGGGTTCTAATAGCTCTTACACTTGCTTTCAGTCTTCAGAAACTGCTACAGTGCTGGAATTGGTCCCTGGGAGACTCCAGCTGTCAGCAGCTTCACCAAAAAGAATGTTCCTGCCTAATTCCCCTTTCAGCTTGTGTCAGTGAAGAGTTATTTTGTACAAAGGTGTGAAGAGAATTTTGTAAAGATGTATGGTAATTCTTATTAGAACAGTTTTGTTTTATGCAGCCTTGGTACTGTTCTATACAGACTTCATTACTTGTGTCCACCCCATCTTGAGCAGGGGAAGGGCCCTGTGCATCACTGTAGCACATTTGATTGTGTTTCTTTACCACTAAGGAGCTAGCTCACAGGTTCCATCATTCCAGTCCCAGTGAAACTTATTCATACAGCAAGTACTTAGCACCTACTATAGGGGAAGTTCTGTTCTAGGCTCTGAGGACACAGCAGTGAACAAAAATCCTTAACTTCTAAAGCTCCATTCTAGTGGAAGAGAAAGACAATACATAAATCAATAGACCAGAGTGGGTTACATGGTGAGGAGGGCCAATGGAAAACAGTAAGCAATGAAGAGGGATAGGGAAGGTTGTGAGGGGAGGATAAATTTGATTTAAGTTTTACCATATGCAATTGACATTTTTATAGGTTAAAAGATGGTGCAATATTGGCAATTCTGAATGGTGTGATATAATAGGTAAGGTGGCCAGCTTGTGTCTCCACAAGCGACATTTTCACTGCCTCTTGAAGCCTCAGTCAAGGCTCTCTACTCTCCCTCTGCAAGTTACTTGGCTAATTCTACTCCACATTGCCTACCATCATCTTTGGCAAATAGTGTGGAGGTCTTGTGGTATAGTGATGCTTTAAAAAACTCACAGTATTGGAATTTTTAAACAACTGAAGTATTCGGGTTTTATTTCTCAGATTGACCATTTACAAGTTGTATGATCTTGGACAAGCCTCCTTGAGTCTCAGGTTTATTATCTATAAATGGTGAGGATAATTACTGCAGAATGTGCATCACAAATAAGATAAGGAAATGAGTCCTGTCTGCTTTGATAAATAAATTATATCTATATGCTTTGTAAAATACAAAATCAAGTTATTATCAATTAAGAAGTAATTTCAAAATGGAGTAGTTATAATTTAGA